TGCCGGATACAGTGGTGCAAGCTAAGTGGGCATGATTTTTTGGGGGGGGGAAGGGCATTCTTAAATTTCAGGTAGCACACTGGGCTACCTAGGTTCAAAAATAGGTTGCCCCAAGTAAAACTTGGTTGCCCGGGGCAACTGGACAACCAGATATTTTGTACACTATCAAGTGTTGTTGGTACATGTAGATCCAGGGCTAGAAATTCATTTTTTGGGAATAGGTGCACTGGTGCACCAAACTTAAAAAATTAGGTGCACACAAAATTTTTGGGGTGCACCATATTAAAAAAAACTAAATACAGATATTACTGCTCCCCTTCTGAGCTTCAATCTGACATGGAAGCTAACTTCAAAAGATTATACATTCAACATGTACAAAAATACCTACAAAAATATCTGGGTGCACCAGTGCACCCACACAAAAAAATTAGGTGCACAGCTCCAATTTTGGATGCACATAAACCCACTATTTCCAGCCCAGTAGAATATAATTGTTAAACCCATTCAATGCTGTCTAATGGTGGCAAAACAAAAAAATATTCTGGATACGGAAATATGTCTGATATTGACAATTACTGTCATTTCGTAGCTTATTTTTGTCATCATTAATTTCTATGTTTCATACTTGAAGTGTATAAAATAGTCCCAAGGCAAGCTATATGCATCTCTTATTATTATAATTGATTAATTTACAGTTTGATTTTTTGGTAGGCTGTAGTTGATTATACAGTCAACTTGTGACATGCCTTGGATCGAGCCTGTTGGATCCGGATTTTTGCATGAATTTCTTCATGAATCATTTGATCATCAAAACACAATCAAACCTTAATGTTTACATTAATATTACAAACCAGCAGCTCCTTTAATTTTAAATTATACATAAATGTTTCATGTCATGCTTCAGTGCCTAGGATTAAGAGTCTGTATCTCTCTGATAAAAATATACTGTACATGTATGCATATGACATTGAGCTGTATTAACATGATTACAGTATAATCCAATCATCTATGATTCGTAAACACTTCATAAATAAATTATCGTAGCATGCATACATGTGGTACAGTGGTTAGCAGGACCAAGAGGTTGGGAGTTCAAATCCCAGCTGTTGTTGCTCACCCAACATGCGCTATGGTCCACTTTTCCTTATGCTAAATGTAAAAAAAAAAACAAGGAAATTAACCTGTAAAATACTGTCCTTTTTCTGCATCTATGTTATCAGTCATGACTAGTGGAAGAGTAGCTCTTCAGTGAGCTAAAACTAGAAGAGGGTCTGTGTGCTGATGATTGTGGCCTTAGCTAGGATTTTTTTGGTGGGCGTCCATTTTTTTTATTGTATGCTATGCACAGTGAAGACATGCTGAGTGCAAGATTTTAGGGGGGCTTTTTTGAAATTCATAATGCTCTCAAACACTACTTTCTGCATTTTCAGGTGTAAATTTGAGTTTTTTCCTTCAGTAAACCATCATTTTTGTATTTATAGTAAGGCTGAAGGGAGGCATGTGTGCATGGCAAGGGTTGGGAGTGGAAAAAATAGGGTGTCTTTAGGGTGTCCTACAAAAAAGTAGGGCCTCCAATTTCTTATTATTTTCAGTATAGGGCGTCCAAAAGACACCCTGGACACCCCCAAGCTAAAAGCCTGATTTATATTTGTTTCTCACGAGTTCCTTGTTTGTTCCACAGTGCGGTTTCTTCAAGAGACAGTCGATGCAGGAGTACACGGCCATCAAGAGAAACCCGCCCACCAGCGAGAGCCCCGACGCAAGCAGCGGTTACATCAGCGACAAGGCGGACTACTAGGGCAAGACGAGAGGGTCTTGTATTCTTATGTAGACCACGGAGTCACTGAAGGTTTAGTCGTACCTCTGAACCAGGCTCTGGCTGGTACAAGAACCCTTGAAACTTTGCTAGGGCTTGGTTCTGAGGTAAATGATTGGATATTCACCTTTTTAAAGGACAGGTTGATCATGGTATATTGGACATTTGTTGCCTTAATGTATTCACCTTTGGTTAGGCCCTTAACACATGGCTTCATTCCATATTTAAACATTTTTAGTCTTGATAATTATTGGGTTGTTGCAAACTTAATCAGGTTTTAGAAGCTGGAAAACTTAATCATTGAAAACAGTTGTATAAATTGCTCATTTTAGCTGAGCTTATTCAAATGTGGGGCTTTTTTAATGTAACTGTATATGCCTTGCATATACAGGGGACCAAATTAAGAGTTGGATGATACAAGAATTTCCTTTGGATATTAGATGAATGCAAAATTTGTACAAATTTTTATCGAACAATAACTGGACCAAACATAACCCTTAGGTTTCCACTTAAGCATATCTTCATCATTGTAGAAACAAACATGATTATCTGTAGTTCATGGGCTTAAAGTATTATCTGCTTTAAATTTCTCTGTATAAGCCTATCTCAGAGAATTTAGCACACCTACATGTACTATTCTTGGTGAATCCTTTTCATACAGTATGCCTTAGACTTAAAATAATTTCATAGGAATGATGTTCTATTGTAGAATGTTAAATATTTATGTATTTTTTGTTTTGACCCCATGGGTGTAAATGTTTATGTGAAGAAATATGATGTTTGTGCAATTTTGTTTACCAAATGATATACATGTAGGGTTTTCTGTTACTTAGAGTTAGACCTGATAATTTCAGCATTCAAAATACTAATTATTCCTGATATTTATTTATCTATAACATGCATAGTGCTCTGAGGTACAGTACATGGCCAACTGTAGAATTACACTCTTTGGTAATTTCTGTTGCTGTTTTTTTTAAACTGTTGAGCACTGAACATTTGTTCAGCTGTAGATAATGCTTGGTTAATGATAAACCTATAAAAATGTTTGGAAAAACATCCCTATACTGAAATGAACTATTCCACCCAACAGTGAGTTCTGAAGAAATGTGGTTGATACCATTATATAAAAGGGGCTGTTGGTCGTACATGTAAGTGGTTAAAGAAGCTGGAAAAAAGTCTTTGCTGGGCAAAGATATAGAATGATAAGACATTGTACCATAGTTTGTTATATGTTCCCAAACTTGCTTTAAAATGCACATTTATGTTTGAATATGACACTTGATGTATGTATTATTTCAGAATTTCCATACACTATACAGTTTACCTTGTTTACACCAAGAAACTAGTAAGTTTGATATAGTATAAGCCTTTGTACTTTTGTACGTATCATAGGTGAAACATTCTTGTGTGTTATTCTTGTATAAAACAGTGAATTTGTGTAATACGTATATTGATAAGTACCATCAAAGAGCTTAAAATCTAGAAGCTCCTTGGTATCATAACAGATGTTTTAAGTCAACTCTTGTGCATTTCTATCTGTTCGGTCAGCTGCCAAAAACCGATAGGAATCGTACCTATGCAAGTACATTATTTTTATGACGTAAGAGTCTATGTAACTGTATCTGTTATGTTTATTGTGTATTCAGTGAAGAAAGTTGCTGCACTAGTTTTAAGTATGTTCTTACTACACCAAACTAACAATATTTCCAGACAAATTTGATGACAGCAGGAAAGGTGCCAAGCTCTTCCATTGTCTTTCAGCCATTGACACTTTTAAATCAGCCAAAATATGTCTGGCATTCCATTTAAGAAACATTTTCTGGAAAGAAGCAGTGAAATTACAGATGCCACTAGGGCAGTTAACATGTTTTCCTATTTGTCTGGTCTACCATCAGTTACAATTCTATCCATGACTAGATTATGAGGTTGTATTTTGGCTTGCTTACCTTCCTTGGTGTTATGTCTATTCATACGAGCAAATCAGATATTAACACTTAAACAAAGTATCCGTATATGGTATAACAATAACTTGAATATCACAATGTACAGAGAGCTGGAAAACACTGTCACAATCTACTGTCACTTCTGTTGGTATTTATTAGCTAATAATATGATGACAAGGAATACTTGTTTGTTTTAATGATAATTACTGTACACAAGAATGTTCTATAAATTGTATTATATCTATGACTTTGTCACGGATCCTTTGTAAAATAAAAGTCTATGAGTCTGTACAAAAGTCTGTTCAATGGTTCTTCTGTGCCATGTTAGGTATAATTTTCCCATTGCAGTGGTTTGGATTTTATAAATGACCTCTTGTGGCAATATGGTGGATGGCAGAGTACTGTTCTTCTTCTTTATTACTGCCCAGTCCTACAGCATAGGATTATTGGCAGAAGAGTCAGTGCATTATCGTCAGGTTGGTGACTTGAAATAGGTACAAACTGTTCTAAAAACGTTAACATAGTGTAAAATGAGTCAGTCTTTGTACTTATGTATCTGTTGGACGAATAGAATTAGTTACTAGTACTAAAGGATAACGTTAATGCTGAAAATCAGTCCCGCAAAAGATAGATACAAGAGAGAGATACTGGTCTTGTCTGGTCCGTAATGTCCATGTTTAGGTGTTGATTTCTTATTTACTTGGGAAAGAAAATCTAATAAAGTCCACTTCAATATCCACCTGCAATGTGAGAAGAAAAGCTAAATTTGGTGAATGAAAACAACAAATTTTAAGAAACGTTTTCACCAGCCAAAGACATACTTAAACTACTTAGCGTCAAAGAACTTGATTGCTCCAATCTTGATTTTAAAAGTTATTGCAAAATTAGCAAACCAGAGGGAAAAGAAGAGTTTATTTGTACTTACAGACTTGTGCTTGTGGAATCTATAGGTTGCTGGAAGGTCAAATCTCAATTCTGGTGGAGAGAAATGCAACATGGCTTAGGCTGATAGACATGGTTGACTTGCAACAAATGAGAAAGATCATTGTGTACTAGCCTAAAGAAGGACAACACATTCTATCTGTACCTGCAACAACCTCCATGTTAACATTCCACTCTTTGGCTTTCTTCTTGATGTGCTGGATATTGGAAAAAAATACACCCATTGTAATGATAAAACTGTATTTTGTAATGCAAAAATTGTCATATTTCTCAAGGCAACAGATGTGACCTGTGGTTTAGTAAACAAGAAAGAGGAGAATAAGAAAACAACACATATTCAATATGTATACACCAGATAGTATACAGACGTACTTGTCTTGTTGATGTTTTGTGGAGAGAGTAAACTGACTCTGTGGCCATGTCCAGGGCTGTTCTCAAAAATATCATGTCAATTCCTGCAAAAAAAAAAGAAAAGAAAAAGAACAACACATTTAACACCAGCCTAATTGTAAAATATTGTTTTAATGCAATTTTTCTTGACGTTGGAGCACATTTCAATAGTAAAATGGCCTCAGAAAGGTTTTGTAATTTTTTGTCTGTAAGTTTTGGTGAAAGATGCTTTTGATTTAGTTAAAGTAACAAATGTACTATAACCTCCTTGGCTAGACAGGGTTCACCCTTTTGTAGTAGGCATCCTTTTGTATTATGAGTAATAATAGCTAGGACAACACCCCTTCAACTCTCTGTGTTAGTATAGCCCAGCGTGAATATTAAGTAGGAAGTGCTCAAGAAATGGGACATATAGTAAGACGACCTCTTGTCCATCTGACCGAGGATGAGCACAGATGCTTACTGTACCACACTAGCTATTCTGGATTAAAGCATCACAAAAGGTACTTCAAAGTCTCTGTTATCGCTCATCAAGTTCAAGAACACAACACACCCCAGTTTTTCTTTGTTCCAAACGGAGGGTTCATGATGACAGTATCGAAGGTCTTGTGCCACCTGCCAGGACAGGTGTGCAGGTGCGTGACGTCAGCCTGTATCAGGTGCACGGTGTCCAGCTCCAGCTCTGCACAGTTGGACTGGCACACGGAGAGGGCATCTTCATCGATGTCAAACCCCACACAGGCACTGAGGAGAGGGTGATAGGAGATGAAGGTTTGAAAGATGAATGATCAGGTGATACTGTCAATCTGTTAATGCCTAAGTGATCAAATAGTTTTAGACATCTGACATATTGCAGGCTTTCAGGTGTGGAACAATAGTGTTAAGACCTCACTGACATTTACGTAGAATGATATCTGATTTATTACATGTCCATATTTTTGTATGTATATTTATGTATTGCTTTCATAATGTGTTTAAATCCAATGCTGTTTTATACTGTTTTTATTGATGTAATTAGGGGAGGGAGCTGGTAAAGGTGACCCACCTGTTCTCCCTCCCCCTCCATGGATGTGCTGGAAAATTTTAATAAATAAACAAATAAACAAACTACAACTCAATTCTGGATGCACTCCTGCAATGTTGTTTTAGTTACACAGGACAGTACATTAAATATAGTTGGTTCTTACCCTGCCCCTAACATAGCAGCCCCGGCACACAGGACCCCACAGCCACACCCCAGGTCTGCCACCAGCCGCCCCTCCACAGAACTGTACTGGGTCTGCATGCTGTACAGCATATGGGCTGGAAGGAGGGCACACAAAATCCCAGGTTATTTAGGATAATCTTAAAGACAGGCTATCATATGAATCGCAAATTACATGTAACTGCCCTTCGATGTAGCACACCAGCTATGCAGTAACATGGCGTGAGCAGGATATTATGCTAGTACATGTAGGGGCGCCCTCACTAATAAATAGCTTTCAACAATGCACGTAGCTTACATCCAATGTCACACCTACAATGTACTAGTAAACATGTAACTCTCTGTACTATCTAGTGAGGATGACCCTACTGTACTTGCTGACAATGATAGTTCCAATGGGGAAAAAGAAAAGAGAATCAGTTTGGATGGCTAGATGGAATTTTATCAGGCTCATTTTATGTAAATTATTTGAACCTGTAGCATAGCCACTAGCAGGCCTGGTCACAAGCATATAAGGCCACACCAACTAAATTTTATGGATGACGTCCTTTGGAGACCCTAAATCTAATGCGAGTGGGCGAAAAAAAAAACAAGAGGCCTAGATCAGAAAAATACTAAGAGACGACAAATGTTAGGACACAAATTGAATGAGGTGACACAGTGTAACAAGCAAGAAGTCTTTTATTTATCATCAAAACAGCAATAAATCAGGCAGTTGTCGTCCTGTCCTGTTTTCGCGTTACTGGTTTCACGTCAATCTGACGATTTGCAGCACTGTCGTGACTCTTTGGTCATAGTTACAGGAAGCGGAATTTCTTGTTTTTTTTTCTAGGAACAGGTCAAAATCAATGCGCGCGCGGACATCATCCATAAAATTTACTTGGTGTGGCCTAAAAGAGAAATTGCCTTTATCACTGCCTGGAAACATGGAAAGTTACAATCACAGCTCAGTTACAACTAGAAGAAGGCTAATCTTTTCTGGAAAACATCTCACCTGCTATATGTGGAGAAGTTGGGTACTGTTCCAACAGAACCTTGGGCTCTTCAAACGTCTCCACATCCTGAAGGTAACTCTCCAACTCCTTCAACCTCATTCTTCTGGGTGGATTTTCTTCAAATCTTGTTTGAATTATGAATCTGAAAGACAAAAAGGATAATTTGGCATGTGAATCAAAATTTGATTAAGTAGAGAATCGCAGCACAATCTAAGAACCTTTATATCATCAATGTATCTCCGATCAGCATAAAATACGACTCAAAACAGTGTAAAAACCTGGTAGATTTTGATGTAAACAAAAACACACCTCACGTCTACATGGGCGCGGCCATCTTGGTTTAAAGGCCAAAGTTTAAAGGTCCATACCCACAATGCGTTGTAAACGCTACACGTAGCCGATGGGTTGATTTTTACACGTTTCGATTCACAGTTTTCTTTAACAAACTACCGAAATGTTCCGGAAATTGAAAAACAAGATAGAAGAGGAGGCGGGGAAATCGCCGGTGAACAGGCTGCTGTCAGGCGCTTCGCCCTCCAAGGGAGAATCGGTGAGATATTGGGTGTAGAACGGCACAAGTTGGGAGGGGTTTTTCAAGAGGGAGGGGGGCGTTAACGCAGACAACATAAACATCCAAAATATTGTGTTATTATAAGTCCCTAGTGACGGAAAGGGAGACTCTAGTTCACCTGTTGAGTGGTGTGTTGTCAGGGCTGTGTCTAAGGAACAGCTAGCTGTAAAAATTCCTGTATTTTCGCCTTTAGTTTGAGTCTAAAGAATTCCAACAAGTGTCTTGACGACCTTTGATAAAAGTTAGTTTGAATGTTTGCACATATTTTCATAAAGTCTATATTCTACAGATATAATTGAAGGAATCATAACCATAATTCCAGATTTTTTTTGGCTTGCTTAACAACTGGTTTAAAATTTTTGTTATGATTTGTATAGGATCTCCACAGTCTTGTATGGTCAATTTTTCTTCAGTTTAGAATTGTCTTGTAGAATACTATATATTTTTCAAAACCCCAAAATATGAAAAAGAACAATTTTCAATGTATAGTTACATACACAACATGCCAATTTTGTACTGTAAGTACAAGTTGCATAAGATTTCAACTAGTCACACTGGGAAGGACCCCTAGTCTTTTTTATAAGTGTGATGGGTTCTTTATGTGCTTAAAGTGTGACTCTCCTCCAACACAGGACCTCTAGCTTTATGTCCTGTCCTAGAGGACATCATGAACTGAAGCTAGCTGCTCATTTTCAATTGAGATATTAGGTGTTAAGTGCCCTTTCCAAGGACACAACAGTGGCACCTGCTGGGGACTTGAACCCATGCCAGAACCTTGAAGTTCTGAGTCAACTTAAAAAGTATACAGCAAGAGCACCCTCCTAACTTTCCCTATAATATTGATTTTACTATGTACAGATCCGTCACTATGTACCTTTGATCCATCTAAGACTAGTAAGAGGACGTCCCTAACCAAAGTTGTAATTAATTTGTCTTTCCCAAGGGTACAAGTTGGGGATTAGATGCGACTAGAGATTCAAACCCAGAACCTTTAGATTCTAAGTCAACAACCCTAAACATAAGACCACCTTACCACCTTGCAGTTCTAAGATTATTGTAGAATGTGGAGAGATACTTTATATCCACATGGTTTGTATCTTCTATTATTCATTCAGTATATAGAGCACCACAGTCAACCCTTCAATTCCTAATCCTAGGTATCTAAAAACTCTAATAACAGATACATGGTTATATGTTGACGTAAGAGCTTTAATTCAATAAATTTCAATTCATAAATCAGCACTAGTAACTGTTACTTCTCACATGCAGGTTTTCTGTAATCGTTCCTTGTTGTTTCATTACGGAGGCCCCCATGATGTGAAACTAATATTGATTTACGCACATTCAGCAGCATATCTAAGTAAAATCCAATAATGTGTAATACAGGTAGCCCCTGGGATGGATGTTGCTAGAATTACAAACCCACTATCAGCCTCGGACCATATTATGACTGCAAAGAAACTTATGGATAAGAAGATTATGATGTTTATCTTTATCTATTTTATCATTCTTCATAAATTTAACGACAGATGTTGATTCGTAAGGCAGTGCCTTGTACTGAATTTGTTCTGCAAGCTTCTTTGTTTTCTGAGATTTTATTATTGTATCAAATTTCAGTCTTTGCCTGCAATTCCCAGATTATGTTGTATGACTTGTATGCACATCTTCAGTACGTTTAAGTATCAGAAATGCCCTTGTACCTCAGCCCAGCTGCCTCCCATCCTTTGGAGAATAGAATCAATATAAGCTAATCAGGAAACTCCCCAAGGTTGACAAACGAGCGGAGTCCTGACGTAATCCAGCAGGTCTGTGTGGGTGGGACACAGGTAACATGACACACAGCCTGACTCCCATCATGTACATTGGAAAATTAGATCACATAACGATGTATCTACACAGGACTTCAAGTTGACAGTTAAATATAAAAGTAGAATTGTCAGTGCTTCTTAACTTAAGGAATCATTTTGATATTCTAACTAGTAATTTTATGTGGACTGAGTGATAATCTGTGATGATATGATTATGAAGTGATTGCATACATTTTTATTAAACAATATTTTTTAGTCAAATTATCTTTGTGATATGGTACTGAATGAATTTGTGTGACATGGTTATCGAGTAAATTTTTAAATTCCTCAGCATGGAGGTAACAATTTCATCCTTAATTAATCTCAAGAATAGGAGCTAAAACTAGATTTAATGTTTAAATGAAATTAAACTTCTTTCATCATCATCATCATTAGCCAAGGCCTAAATTGGATAAATAAATTCAGATTTTGAATTATGCTCAGCAGCTTACCTTGAAGCAACCTTTGAACAAAGCAACAACAACAACAAAAAATTACCTTCTTGACAGAATTAAGTAGATATTGCAAATAGCGGGTAGAACCTAATACTGTTCCCAAGGTAGCACTTTAAATTATGTGGTGTAGGAAGAAGCCGTAGCTATATAATCCTGTACTTAATCAAGTCCTGCTCCATTCAATCTCCCTACTACGGAGAAAATCGTCACCTGTTTGCGTCAGTGATTCCATTCGATCAATCCGTTTTGCGGTAATCAAATAGATTGCACTGCCAGCAGTATGTACGTGTAGCTAGGGTCTTTCCGTGTGCGTTGCTGAGTCTGTTCAGCCATGGAAACGTTCGGTGTGATGTCTGAAACTTCTCATCTGTTGTGGGATTTAGAGGTGAGACTGGCTGATGTTGTGATTGAATCAGTAGAATAATTGCACTGCAATTTATTGTACTGTATGGATCCCACTACTACTAGCTAGCACTGTAGAGTTAATTTAATCAAGGAATGCTTGCTCAGACCCATCCTTTGAACCAGAATCACCAATTCTCATTCCTCTTACATGTAGAATATTTGGCTAGCATTAGTATTGTAAAATTCTTACTACATTGAACATGAATTACATTAAACAGCTTACTAGAAAATTCTACAATATGGTAACTTGGAGATACATGTATGATGATGAAGGTTACCGTTGGATATCGAGGTATACATTATGTGTATCATCATGCAGACACATATTTGTTATATTAAGTTCTCAGAATCTGATTTTCATATACCGATAGCATAGTCGCATTTGTCTTCTCAGTCACTAATGAAAGATATTTAGCAGATGTTGTCTGGAATATCCAAATCTTCAGAGAATTTATCGAATTGCTTGTAATTACATTCTTGAAGTCAGTTAGCACAAGCTCTGTAAAGAACTGGCTTTTCTTATTTATCTCCTTGACATTATCTCCTACCTAATTAATAAGGTATGTGCTTTTCATCAGGTGAAGAATTAACTAGTTTGCTCAGAAGAAATCTTGGTACATGTATTTGAATCAATTTAAACTACCCGTATCTCAAAGCTCAAACAAAAGTAGATATATTGTATCAAACCCTTCATTCAGAAATAGATCAACATTTTCCAATGAAATCCTTTGTGAAACACAAATCTGACAAAGAATGGATTACTCCCCAAATTAAAGCTGTTATCAAGAAGCGACAGCGGGCTTTTCACTCTGGAAATATGCCATTGTATAGAAAGCTTAGAAACAATGTGAATCGCTTGTGTGTGAAGGCAAAGAAAAGACATTATTTGCGTAAGATTCAGGTGCTTAAGAAGGAGAACCCAGCTAAGTGGCACATGCATCTACGAAATATACTAAATTTTCGGCGTAGCTTATCAGTTTCCGTCCCCAGCGCTTCGTCCTTAACAGACAAGGAGATTGCTGACGTGATCAACCGTCACTTTTCAGACATCGTTAACCAACTTCCATGTTTAGATCCTGAATCATTGCCATCTTACTTACCTTCTCCTTCCAGACCACCACAAGTACATTCCTGGGAGGTCTACGAAATTTTAAAACGCATTGATGCAAGAAAAAGCTGTGGTCCCGATAATCTGTCCCCCAAGATTGTCAAAACCTTTGCCGTTGAATTGAGTGATATATTGGCACATATTTTCAACTGTTCTTTGGATGAGGGACGAATACCCAAACAGTGGAAAGAAGCCATAATTTCACCCATTCCAAAGAAAAGCCCTGCAACAGTTGAAAATCTGCGTCCCATATCACTCACTTCTATCTTGATAAAAACGCTTGAATCTTTTATCACAAAATGGATCCTTCTTGACATAAGCAACGTTCTTGACTCTAACCAATATGGCAGTAGAAGGGGGCGATCATCTGTTCACTACCTCACTAGTTTGGTTGACTCAATACTTCTTGGCGCCGACACCCCTAAAACTATCCAGACTGTCCTGTTAACTGATTTTAGCAAGGCATTTGATAAAATTGATCATACAGTATTAATCCATAAACTGTTAACTTGTGGTGTACGTACTTCTATTGTACCATGGATAAGTGATTTTCTCAGTGAACGTACACAGTGTGTTCGGTACAGAGGCGCAACTTCTGGTTGGGAGAGAATTTCATCAGGAGTTCCTCAGGGAACCAAATTAGGGCCTGTTCTCTTTTTAGTATTTGTAAATGAGGCAATGGAATCTTTTGTGGATAGATGGAAATACGTAGATGATCTGACTTTAAAGGAAAGCAGATTATTAAGTGTACCAACCTCGATGCAAACATCGGTTAATCAACTTGAAATGTGGTCGTCAGAAAATCATATGTCACTAAATGAAGATAAGTGCAAAATAATGAACATCACTTTTATTAACGACCCTCCTCCTCCCCCCGATATCCTTCTTAATGGTAAAGTCCTTGAGCATACAGAAGTGGCATGCATACTTGGACTGTGGTTGACAGCGGATATGAAATGGGATAAGCACGTAGAGGTCATTACGACAAAAGCAAGCTCACGGCTCTACTGGTTAAAGAAATTAAAACGTTTCGGCCTTCCCATCAATGACCTTTGCGAAATCTATTTATTATATATACGACCAACCGTTGAATATGCTGCCCCTGTATGGAATGCCAATATAACACATCAACAATCCGATAAATTAGAACGAATACAGAAACGTGCGCTAAGAATAATTTTAGGCCCTCAATACTCATGTTATGATGAAGCCCTTTCCCATTTTGGCCTCTGTACCTTGAAAACTAGACGAGAATCGCTAAGCCTTAAATTTGCCAAATCTCTGTTGAATTCGCCGACGTTTAGAAACTGGCTGCCCCCGCTACGGAAAGATGTTCACAACAGAAATTTAAAGGGCAATAATCAGCTCTGTATTCCGATGGCAAGATCCAACAGATATAAAAACAGCCCCATTCCATACTTTACTGCACTTCTGAACAACGTCAGGTAACCTATCATGTGTGGTAATTTTTATTATGATTATTGTCTAATTATTTTAATTATTTTGCTATGTATAGTAGTTTCTATAGATTTTATTAAGTGTTTTATTCATTTCTTGTAACTGCCTAATATGCATAATTCAGCGACTTGTACTATGTACAAGTCGCTGCAATGTATTTTAGTGTATTGCTTTCAATTGAAACAATAAACCAACTATATATACTAGTAAGTTGTGCTAAATCATAAATTTAATTTTTTTTCCCAATGTTCCTTTGGTTCCAGGACAGTCCAAGTCACGCTCCCCCCGTCAGCGTTAATGCATCGTCCCCAGCCACCCCCCTGGCCAGGAAACCGGCGATCTGGTCAGCAGGGACCCCCCGCAGACTGGACCAGACTCCCACCAAGGTCAGGGGCTCATGGCCGCCATTCTGAAACTCTACAATTCAATCTCTTACTTCTAGTTCTTCTTCACTACTGCCTAGCCCCACAATGTTGTAACAAGGCAATACTTGACGTGAATGTGGAAGCCCAGATAGCTAGCGTGGTTATAAATATTATTCTATATACACAAATTGTACATGGCAAATCTGTAAAGTACACCCAGCATGTCGGCCGAATGTATATTGCGCCTGCATGAATTGAAGGAAATTCATGTTTAGATGTCGGAGTATTGAAGGAAGATATTTTGTCTATATTTGGAAAGGATATTGTCTGCTACAGACAAAATTCTGATGAAACATTGACCAGGTTTCATGTAGGTGCAGTACGTTCTGTTTATGTGCTATTCCACCATTTATGCATGCCTGTATTTCTGCTTGACTATTCTGTCCTGTCTGACACCCTTGGCCAGCAGAGACCGTAGTTCATTCATATGATAATAACATACCTATACCTGACTCTATGTTCACTTTGACTACTCTCATACCTACAGCCCCCTGCAGTAATATTGACACCCATGTAGATATATGTTTGTCTAATGTGCACCTGACTCTATTTTCACTTTGACTACTCTCATACCTACACTAGCTACAGCTCCCTGCAGTACAATATTGACACCCATGTAGATGTAAGTTGTATAATGTACACCCATGTCTCTGACCCATGTTTATGCATGTCACTCTGTATATCTCTGCGTGGACTAGTCTGACAAAGCCCCCGCGGCTGATGGCAGCATGCGGTCGGCCGCTCTTGACCTCCTGTCCTCTCTTACCGCTCTAAAGGGGTCCAACAGCTACATGTTACCCCCTCATCATAAGGTCAGTCCTTCTCACTTCCAACTGTTAGTTTCCCACTCTGAACAATCTGTCTCAGGCTACTTACTGTTACACAGGTGTGTCTATGTGTGCGTATTTTCTGCATTTGTTTCTGTGTGTTTTGCTGTGATACTTTTGCTGTGCACCAACTACATTTTGCAATGATTCAACAGCAAGTACTAGATTCAGTATACCACCAAACTACATAGTATAGCTTGGTTTGTGAGTTGAGTTAAGGGTCATGCAGAAAGGGCACACCCCCTATATCAAGCTGTACATGCAAATACATTGTTTTACATGTATGTACATGTACATTTGTACATGTAGTTCATATTATCTGAGAACTAAAGTTTGTGAGTCCTATTAAACCCACAAAGTCTATCTCAAAGTCACACAGATGTTGTTTTAGAAGCCCTGTTAGAACTACTGTTGAAAGTAATTTTTGACAAAATAAACCAGCACATAACAATTATTAGAATTGTGTTGATTATAACCAAATGTTTACCTTGACTTTAATGTCAGGTGAAAGCTGCAGATGTGGACTCAGATGCCGACCTCTCAACACAGTCAACTCCACAGGCAGAAAAGGTACTTACTGAGTAGATTGCACTCTTGTGTGTAGATTTTTACTGCTTGGTACACATGTATTTGTCTCCTTGTCTTAACTCCTCTTTTCCCTCTTCTGTTCCAAACAAATAAGGTCAATGACCTGGACCAAATGGCTGTCACCATGGTAACTGGTGCTGTGGTGTTGGATTATGTTATGTAGCAGGTGGCAGAACAGAGTTTGAGGGGCTGATCACCATTATGTATGTGTTTGAGTAAGAATAAACAGAGTAGTAGTCAGTTAGGCTAGGCTAATGTAAATGTATTAAACACTACACATTTGATTTGATTTTTTAGTTGTACATGTAACATCTGTGTCCATGATATCACCAGGGTCCATAATATCACCACCTTGAGAAACAGTGTGCGTTAAGATATTTTTACTGCAGCATACTTCTGGTATGCACTCCTGCACACCTCAAATGTACATACCTAGGGTATGTTGCAGTAAAATATCTTTAAGCACACTATTTCTCAAGGTGGCGATATTATGGACCCTGGTGATATTATGGACACAGTTGTTATCTATTTTGAGTGAAACTCTGGTTTAAGGTTAAAAATCGTTGCCCTCACAGCCCCTGCCCAGAGCGGAGTCTCGTGAGTCCATCAACTCGCTGGCGGGGATGTTCCAGAGCCTCCCGTTTGGTCGTAAGAACCGCGACACGCCGTCGGACGCGGAGAGCGACCTTGACTCTGAGGCGTCCTTCAGCCTGCGCACCATGAACAAGGAGGAGCTTTACAGACGCTTCAAGGAGATGGAGAAGATGATGACTGCTTACAGGGGGAAGTACAACGAGGTAAGAGCTGGGCTCACAGTGAAATTTTCAGAACTGAAGGCTTAAAAGATGATGAGATTGATTGATTGGTTGGTAGTTTGGTTGGTTGGCTGGTCGGTTGTTTGGAGAAAATGATGACTGCTTACAGGGGGAAGTACAACGAGGTCAGTGAAATATTGTTTTTTCACAACTGAAGGCTTAGGAGAGGATTGAGTGAGAGAGTGAGTGATTGAGAGAGAGTAAGTGAATGAGTGAGACAGTTAGTAGTTATAAATGTGTATGTACATTTACTAAGCACCATGAACAAGGAGGAGCTGTACAGGCACTTCAAGGAGATGGAGAAGATGATGACTGCTTACAGGGGGAAGTACAACGAGGTCAGATCTGGATTCAAAAATTGCAGACAAAAAAATTAATTGTTTTTCTTCAAAACGGAGGGTTTAGAACAGGATTGAGTGATTGAGTGAGTTATTAAGAAAGTAAGTGAATGAGTGGAAAGGTTGTATAATAGAACTGCAAGACAATGCAAGTGAATACTTGTCAAATAAATGAATGATTATCATTTGGAAGTATCCTCCGTTGTTACAGTATTTGAGGAAGATTAAGACTGCTTAAATTGCCACATTATATGTATTAGAAATAGACATGCATGATTGTACAAGTAGCGCATGCAGAATGTCTCTAAACCTACTACTCGATATGTCTGAATTCCAATGAAAGCTTGCTTATTCCCTTGTCTTAATGAAGCTCATTTCTTTTTTAGATGGCATCTGCATACAGAGATCAAGAAAAGGAGAAGGAAAAGATCAAGGTATGAAGCTATTAGACAGAGAATGCATATTTTTGATTCTCAAACATTTTATGGAATATTTTATTTAGTCACTAATTTTATTCCTTTTAACACCATTTTGTGTTTAACTAATAGTATTCAATCTATTCATTGCTAGACTATATATAATAGTTATACATGCAACTCTAACCCTGATTATATTTCAGTCTTATTAACACCATTTTATGTTGCGCATGCTCTCCACCCTAGAGGAATATGCATGTACGGATGTTTATCAGACTTGGGTGATGGTTACATGTAAAGCGGTGGTGGTGGTTCAAAATTTACCATACATGATGTAATGGTACATATATGAATACCTAAAACTTAAGAATTTATTTTTTAAACTCGTAAGTCTGTAGGTTTTTTGTTTGCTTTTTTTTAAAAATTCTTATGATTATCCGTCATAACTCCAATATCTAAATGAAACAGTCTTAATGTACCCAGACTGAGAGTTGACATTAGATAACAACACTGTAACATGCTAAGTTTGAATGTTTTGTAAATAACATTGTGATGTTTAACTGTGTTTGTCCTGTTCTCCAGAACACTCTAACAGAAGCCCAGGACAAGTCTCTCCGCAGAATTTCAGAAATGAGAGAGGTGAGCAAATTGTGACAAGTTGAACTTTACAAGCTGCAGGGGTATGTTTGTCACATACATGTACACTTGGCACGGAATTACATGATAAAAGTGACCATATTTCTTTTTTTTTTTTAAAAGATATTCTGCGTGTGACGTTACTTGTAATGTTAAATTTTGTAAGGTGTGCCAAATTTTGTAAGGTGTTAAATTCTGTAAGGTGTACATTGATTCATGAATTATGTAACGAGGACGTAATTCGGGCAATTTTTGCCCGCGAGCTCCTTTGGACTTTTGATAAACAAAACAAATAAACGAATAAACATATTGCTGCATTGACCAGAAGAGAATGTTTGTAAACAACTGGTTTATTATTTATTTTTTACCCTTTTTTTACACACAATATTATACAATCTTGTATAAAGTCATATGGAAATAGTGAATTCCATCTACATACTTTTTTTTTTTGATGATGTCACACAAGTGGTGGTTTCTTCATTCTTTGTCAAAGATTGTGATATTCAGTTGAAAATTTGGATAAGTCCTGTTTTCCACTGTTGGAAATTACAGTTCAACTTTCATTTGCAGAATGAATTCTTACCAACCCTAATAAACTTACAGGTCAAGCCATGTTTTCACAAAAAACAATTTCACAATAAACATACCTAATGATTTTGTACAGTTTTATAGTTTTATATCATTAAAACTCAACAGATCTAAACTACTAACAAATTCCTCTCGCCATAATTACAGTAGCTGTTGTTGGATAGATAGTTACATGTCTCAACAACCTGTCTCCATATCACCACAAACAAATGTTGAAAATAATAACTCCAATTTCTATAGTACAAAGTCACTTCAAACACTAGGTTGTCCTTTCTTCACAGATGGCATCACTCACTCACTCACTCACTATCCAGGCCTTGATTATACTGCTGCGATTTCTAATATTGTGCAACTACATGTACATTTTATAGCCTATCTAACATACACCTGTATGAAAACTGCAGTCTATTTTTTACAAACATTTCCTTTTATGATAATACATTGTACATGTATTTTTGTCATAAGGATAGCCCTATAGTATCAGGCACGTAACTATTCTAATTGAAATAACAGACTTTGCATATGATTCTTTGGACACAATAACATGTTTATGGGATCTATGGATGGGATATGAGTATTACACATACACACATGTATGCAAACACAATCTTCTGGTTCTCCCCACTGTCAAGTTAATGCGATATTCAGGTTATCTGCTAACTTTACACTGTTCAGTTCCACCTCAGATGTTCATAGTGGTTTGCTGTATCAGCACCACGTGCTCATTGTATAACTACTGACTCATTCTGGTAGTGAACCTGTTGACCAGCTTCATTTCTATAGGGAGGGGAGCTCGAGGGGGGTGGGACCTCATAACCTCCTTCAACACTGTAACGATCTTGCCTGTCGCCTGTACGTACATGTGAACTTCCTGATTGAATAGCTACAAATGTACATCATCATATTCTGCTGAATCATCTGTTTGTAAAGTGCCATGCCTTGTCTGGTTTTGAGCACTGATTGTGACAGTAGCTGTCGCGGTGTTTGTGTTGCTGAACACGACACCAGGACTTTGGTCTGCAGGAGGATTGCTGGTCCTCCTCTTGTACATGTACCTTGCAAATAGAACAATGCCCAAGAGGAAAATTCCCGCCACTACGCCAAGAAAACCACTGAGGAAGACTGGCAGAGAGAAGAATTCAGAAGAAGGACCAGCATTGCTTTCTGTCATGCTCAACTCTGTACTTCGAGAAATACTGGAAATGGGTAGTGTGGAATATACAGGTGTTTGTGATGTTGACTTTACGGTTTGGCCAAAAGGGGAAGCTGTGGACAAGCCAGAAGTGTCAGGGATGTTTGTTATGTTAGATGTTGGGGAAGACATTGGTGCCTGTGGTGTTGATTTTCCTGTGCTACTAAGAGGGGAGGAAGTACTTACTGCAGACAAGTCAGGTGAGGTGACAGCAATGTGTGCTGTGAGTTTTGTGGAAGATGTTGGTGTGGAAACCTCAGCAACAGTAGATGGGTCAGTTGAGAAGGAGACTGTTGTCGTCTGTTCACAGATCAAATCTTCACGATTTACCTCTCGTAGTAAGCTTTTCCCACTAAGGTTACCAGGTCCAGCACAGGTGATCTGGCTTTCAAATGCGTAAGAACCGTTCATCTTTTGCTTAAAGGGAAGCATCCTACAGTCACACTGCCAGGGGTTGCTGTTAATATGAACAGTTGGAATGGAAGTTAGTATGTCAAATATGTCAGCTGAGAGACTGGTCAATCGGTTATAGCCAAGATTCAAGGATAGCAGGTTACCAAGTCCCTCAAATATGTTAGCTGAAAGATAAGTTAACTGGTTATAGGGAAGATACAAGTTCCGTAGGTTACCTAGACCCTCAAATATGTCTGCTGGGAGAATGGTCAATTGGTTACGATGAAGATACAAGTGATGTAGGTTACCAAGTCCCTCAAATATGTCAGCTGAGAGACTGGTCAATTGGTTATCGCCAAGATACAAGTACCGAAGGTTAACAAGTCCCTCAAATATGTCAGCTGAGAGATTTAACTGGTTAGAGTCAAGAGACAAGGTCTGTAGGTTACCAAGTCCCTGAAATATGTCAGCTGAGAGGTTTGTTAACTGGTTAGAGTGAAGAGACAAGGTCTGTAGGTTACCAAGTCCCTCAAATGTATCTGCTGGGAGGTTGGTCAACTTGTTGTAGGCAAGGTGTAAGGTTGTAAGATTACCAAGTCCCTGAAATATGTCAGCTGAGAGGATTGTGAACTGGTTAGAGGAAAGAGACAAGGTCTGTAGGTTACCAAGTCCTACAAATATGTCAGCTGAAAGATGGGTTAGCTGGTTAGCGTAAAGATGTAAGTGCTGCAGGCTATCAAGTCCCTCAAATATGTCAGCTGAAAAACTGGTCAGTTGATTCTGACCAAGGTCTATTAAGTTTAAGCTGGTCAAGTTGTGGAATGCTCTGACATGGATCATAGATATCTCATTCTCTCCTAGATATATTCTTTCCAAACTCCTATACTGAAAAAAGTCATATTGCCTTATAGTTGTAATGGCATTGTCATGCAAGTAAAGCCATGTGATGTCTGTAGGCAGGTCCTGAGGAACACTGCTGAGGCCTCTCCAACTGCAGTCACAGACTGATGAACAGCTGCTGCTGCAGGCTTTGGTTGGTCCAGTTTCCTTCAGGATGATCAGCAGAAGAACCAGCAATGTCCTCATCTTGTTTGGCATGTTGACTTGAAAGATCATATATCATGGCACAATAAGCTATTATCCAACAATAATATGCCCATACACCTATACATTGTGATATTCATAGATTTTTTTGTTGATAGATTGACACAGGGAATTACATTGTAAATATTTCTTGGTATTTCAATTAAAATACATTGTATAAGTAGCAAAGAAATGACACCTCAGACTCCCTTCCAACCTCTTTGATTATATTCAGTTGCAACATGAAAATGAAAATTGATTAAGAATCAAAGAATTACATGTCCAGAATTGTAGGGAAACTGTCGTATATCAATTGCAGCAGGTGGCTCTGATTTACCTCTAGTAGGCTTGTTTAAGGTACAAGCAGATTTTTTGTGGGCACGACCCTATAATTAGCCAGCCTATACATGGGCCAACGGGTAATGTTTTCCTCACAAAATAAACTGAAACTCATACCTGTATGTAGTGATCCTTGACACTGAAACAGTTCTTTTTTATGAAACAGAAGCTTTGAAACCGCTTTAGGTTGGTAATTCTGCAATCAAAGAAAGGTGCAGTGTGCATAATACAATGTACATGTAGTAGATCGTGTTCTGCTGAACAGTTTAATAGTAGCCTGGTAACCAGACTGCCGTGAGCTTAGCGCTATTCCTTCGGTGCCGAGAGTGTTTGGGGCCGCCAACCAGGCCTCAATTACCGCGCTTTGTTTTTTTTTAAGGGTCAGCGGCAACAGAAGACTAAGCGTAATACAGGAAGACAGCGGATACAGGGAAACCAAAAGGAGATGGGTCCATGGTATAACTCGCCTGTGCTTGGTAAAGGCCGGGGCCGAAAAATTACCGCCAAGCCAGCCAAAGGTTTGGTACCCAGGCTAGTTTGATAGCAGCTTTGTTCAGTTACAAACTTACAATAGGTATTGTTGGCCAACGGTCATCTGGGATTTTTAATCACAGGGTTACAAGTACATTACTTTGATACTCATTGATATTATGCCTGACTTGACATGCAATTACAACAATATTATATATATATATATTTAGGAGATTGGAAGGATAATTACACAAACAAGGCGTTTCTTTTGTCTTTGAACTAGGATTGAAGAAAAGTTGTTCTTTTATTCTAGACCTGCATGAAAAAAGGATCATAGGAAAATGTCTATGCTCTTTCACTGACATTTAGAAAAGCCAGGTCACAGTCAGGACACACATGTTTGCTTCAACCAGTGAGTGTTTTGAAGCAAGAAGAACAGATTAGACTTACTGAAAGACTGTCCTCTTCAAGAGTTGTCCCAAGAAACTCTGTGTCAAGAGACTCAACAAATGTCCAATTTGCGCTGATCTACACTCTTGAACTAACTGCACCTGTACCAAGCTGTGTAGGAGGAAATGCAGGAGGAAATGTTGACCTTCCACCACAGGTGTTTGCCAATGGGTGTGTGCTAACTTGCCTTACAATCCGGACTCAGTCTGCCATACAAAAAGCGCTCAAAGTAATTACATGTACAGTCACATGACCAACTTCTGTCATTGCTTTGGGATTATGAATTTACTCCTGTGGGGGTATGTTGAGCAATATATTTACAAAAACTGAGTTTTGGGCTCTCCAAATGTTCAATTTATGCTGAATTTTGTCATTGACAAAAGTTAGATTAGTTGTGTCTGTTGCACCTGTACTAAGCTGCGTAACTGCACAGGAGAAACAGTTAGTAATACTTATTGCACCTTTGACAGCGACTGTGACAGGTGTTTGCCAGTGGTTGTTTGCTAACCATTAGGCGGGGTACTGTATTTTGCACTCCTATAAGGTGTCAATGACAACCAGTTTGGGCCTGTACTACATGTAGATTTTAAGTTGAAGGTGGAAATGTGTTGTACATTTATTTGGGTAAGTCCTGTTTTCCACTGTTGGAAATTACAGTTTACATGTAACTTAAATTTGCAGAATGAATTCTACAAACCCTGATAAACTTACACGCCAAGCCCTATTTTCACAAAAAAATAATTTTACAATAAACATACTTACTGATTTTCTACAGTTTAATAGTTTTATATCATTAAAACTCAACAGATATAAACTACTAACAAATTCCTCTCACCATATTTACAATAACTGTTGTTGGATAGATCAACCATATCACCACAAACAAATGTTGAAAATGATAACTCCTAATTCTATAATGCAAAAGTCACTTCAAACACTAGGTTGGCCTTTCTCCACATATGGAACACACATAATTATACAAAAAAAAACTTAACTCACTCACTATCCAGGCCTTGATTACTGTATACTGCTGTGATTACTAATATTATGCAATTACATTACATGTATGTACAATGTACTTGTATGTAGCCCATTTAACATACACCTGTATGAAAACTGCAATCTTTTTATTACAAACAATCTGTTCCTTTTATGATAATATTGTAGTCATAAGGATAACCCTATCAGGCATGTACATTTGTAACTATAGAATGCATATACTAGTAATATTTCTTTGAACACAATAACATGTAATATATGGGATCTATGGATGGGATACCGGTATTACACATACACATATGTAATATATACTATGCAAACAAAAGGTTATAAGTTTCCAGTTCTGGTTCTCCCTATCAAGTTCATGCTATAATTATATTCAGGTTGTCTGCTAACTTAACACTGTTCAGTTCCACCTCAGAGGTTCATAGTGGTTTGCTGTATCAGCACCACGTGCTTATTGTATAACTACTGACTCATTCTGGTAGTGAACCTGTTGACCAGCTTCATTTCTAGGGGGAGGGGAGCTCAAGGGGGGTGGGACCTCATAACCTCCTTCAACACTGTAACGATCTTGCCTGTGGCCTGTATGTACATGTGAACTTCCTGATTGAATAGCTACAAATGTACATCATCATATTCTGCTGAATCATCTGTTTGTGAAGTGCCATGCCTTGTCTGGTTTTGAGCACTGATTGTGACAGTAGCTGTCGCGGTGTTTGTGTTGCTGAACACGACACCAGGACTTTGGTCTGCAGGAGGATTGCTGGTCCTCCTCTTGTACATGTACCTTGCAAATAGAACAATGCCCAAGAGGAAAATTCCCGCCACTACGCCAAGAAAACCACTGAGGAAGACTGGCAGAGAGAAGAATTCAGAAGAAGGAGCAGCATTGCTTTCTGTCATGCTTAACTCTGTACTACGAGAAATGCTGGAACTGGGTAGTGAGGAAGACAAATGTGTTTGTGATGTTGACTTTACAGTTTGGCCAAAAGGGGAAGCTGTAGACAAGCCATAAGTGTCAGTGTTGCTTGTTATGCTGGATGTTGGGGAAGACATTGGTGCCAGTGGTGTTGATTTTCCTGTGCTACTGAAAGGGGAGGAAGAACTGACTGTAGACAAGTCAGGTGAGGTGACAGCAATGTGTGCTGTGAGTTTTGTGGAAGATGTTGGTGTGGAAACCTCAGCAACAGTAGATGGGTCAGTTGAGAAGGAGACTGTTGACGTCTGTTCACAGATCAGATCTTCACGATTTACCTCTTCTAGTAAGCTTTTCCCAGTAAAGTTACCAGGTCCAGCACAGGTTATCTGGCTTTCAAATGCATAAGAACCGTTCATCTTTTGCTTAAAGGGAAGCATCCTACAGTCACACTGCCAGGGGTTGTTGTTAATATCAATATACAGTTGAATGGAAGCTAGTATGTCAAATATGTCAGCTGACAGACTGGTCAATCGGTTAGAGGAAAGGTCCAAGATCTGCAGGTTACCAAGTCCCTCAAATATATCATCTGAAAGGTTGGTCAATTGGTTAGAATCAAGATACAAGGTTTGTAGGTTACCAAGTCCCTCAAATATGTCAGCTGAGGGACTGGTCAATCGGTTAGAGTGAAGATACAAGGTCTCTAGGTTACCAAGTCCTTCAAATATGTCTGCTGGGAGAATGGTCAATTGGTTACGTTGAAGAAACAAGTACCGTAGGTTACCAAGTCCCTCAAACATGTCAGCTGGGAGGTTTGTTAACTGGTTAAAGGAAAGAGACAAGGTCTGTAGGTCACCAAGTCCCTCAAATGTATCAGCTGAGAGGTTGGTCAACTTGTTCTGGGCAAGGCTTAAGGTTGTTAGATTACCAAGTCCCTGAAATGTGTCAGCTGGGAGGTTTGTTAACTGGTTAGAGTCAAGAGACAAGCTCTTTAGGTTACCAACTCCCTCAAATATGTCTGCTGTTAGAATGGTCAATTGGTTATTGTCAAGATCCAAGGTCTGTAGGTTACCAAGTCCCACAAATGTGTCAGCTGAGAGGATTGTTAACTGGTTAGACTGAAGATTCAAGTCCTGTAGGTTACCAAGTCCATCAAATATCTCAGCTGAAAGATGGGGTAGCTGGTTAGAGGAAAGATACAAGGTTTGTAGGTTACCAAGTCCCTGAAATATATCAGCTGAGAGATTGGTTAAATGGTTAGAGTAAAGGTGCAAGGTCTGTAGGTTACCAAGCCCCTGAAATATGTCAGCTGAGAGGATTGTTAACTGGTTAGAGGAAAGATCCAAGGTCTGTAGGTTACCCAGTCCCTCAAATATGTCAGCTGAAAGACTGGTCAGTTGATTCTGACTAAGGTCTATTACGATTAAGCTGGTCAGGTTGTGGAATGCTCTGACGTGGATCATCGAGATCTGATTCTGTCCTAGATATAATCTTTCCAAACTCCTATATGGAAAAAAGTCATATTGCCCTATTGTTGTAATGGCATTGCCTTGCAAGTAAAGCCATGTGATGGTTGTAGGCAGGTCCTGAGGAACACTGCTGAGGCCTCTCAAGCTGCAGGAACACACTGATGAACAGCTGCTGCTGCAGGCTTTGGTTGGTCCAGTTTCCTTCAGGATGATCAGCAGAAGAACCAGCAATGTCCTCACCTTGTTTGTCATGTTGCCTTGAAAGATCATATATGGCACAATAAGCTATTATCCATACACCTATGCATTGTGATATTCATAGATTTTTTTAATTATTTTTTTGTTGATAGACTGACACAGGGAATTAAATATTTCTTAGTATTTCAATTAGAATACATTGTATACAAACTGTAAGTAGCAAAGAAATGACACCTCAGACTCCCTTGCAACCTCTTTGGTTATATTTAGTTGCAACATGAAAATGAAAATTGATTAAGAATCAAAGAATTACACATCCAGAATTGTCCGGAAACTGTCTTCTTTCAATTGCAGCAGGTTGTTTACCTCTAGTTGGATTGTTTAAGCTCCAAACAGATTTTTTCTGGGCAAGACACTATAGCCAGCCTAGCGACGGGTTCTGTCCGCCATGTTGGTGCTCATACAAACCAGCGTCGCCTACCCTTGATATACATAGTTCATTGTTTTGTAGTCGGTTGCGGGTCAAAAAAGTGGTAAACACAGTGCATCTTTTCAATGCGTGCCAATGTGATTACAAATTAAGGATAGGAACAAGGAAAAACTGACCGTAGAACGTCGCAGATTGTGAATTTTTGCGATCAGCCGCGGGGATACAGCCACAGAAATATCCTGAGACCGAGGCGAGTTATGGTCGCCGTTTTGACTCCCGAAAAGCTTCACCCGCCTGGGTCCAACACAATGTTGTCTGGATCCCTACTCCCAACCTCGGAAGAAATGTAGAGAGATTGAGAGTAGAGATTGAGAGTAGGGAGATTGGGACAAAAGAAAAGCGGCAGACGGGGGCCGAAGCGAAGGCCGCGCGGCACGGGCGACAGAACGCAACAAGCGGGCCGCCTGACCGGCGAAAAGCCGGACGCCACAAAATGCTACTGAGCACCATGTACGTGATCTTCCCTACAACGAGGTCAGAAATGTGCCTGTAAATGCAGAAATGGCACCCATAACAATGAAAGAATTACCATTAAACATGGACTAAACATTAGTTTACATGGTGCAAGTTAATTTATTTTGATACACGTGGCACTGGCTCGATTTAAGCCTAAGTGCTAAAACTCCGAGTTCACCCTGACAGCCCAACGAAATCACCGATCTTAGCACTAAAAATGCCGTCAAGATTCTGCTTATCTGCTCATTCTGCGAATGTTCACAATCTAGTTCATGCATATGTTGTGAGAGGTCCCCCAAAAAACGAAAGTTTCACGGCAAAACTACAACAACGAGTACGTAAACAATGCCCGGCCGGGCAGCTCCCCTCCCAACGCCGATGAATCTTACTCCGGCAAACTCATCAAGGCGGCCAACAAAATTTCTGTCGACGGGGCTCGCAAGCCGTCATGTGAAATTCTAATGGGTTTCTAACAGAGACATGCTTGTACTTTTGGTACTTGAAAGAAATGTGAACTCCAGTTTGCCGGCGGCGAAACCGAAAGGGCTAGATTAAAGCATGGACCTTTTTTCTACCTCCATGATCAAAGTACACAACAAACAAAAAGTCGCCCGCTGAATAAAAACTGTGGCATTTTGCATTACTACTGTACCGAATATTGACACAGAACCCATAATTTTGTAACAGCAATCTCTAGTAAAAACAAGAATTTACATTACCAAGAAAAGCCGAATCTACTCTAGCTTACGCTCCCAATTGTTGTTTACGATCCCGCCGCCGGGAGGACGCGAGTTTGTCATGAGAAGGAAACAGACACACGAGTGTCACCCACGTATAGAGAACTGTTCAAAACACACTTCCCAAAACTTTCTCTCACTCTTTTAAATTCATTTATTGAGAAAATATTAGACTAGAGTGACAGACATGCAGATCCTGTCCACTGTAGGACTTCAGTAGGAGAGATAAGTCTTTGAAGTTCGTCAACACATACGCAAGTTTTGTTGTCCTATACCCTTTGTCATCGTATCCTTTGACTTCCTATCCTTTCAAAAAAAGACAATTTCGTTGAAGTCCTTGTCATCTGTCAACTATCAAAGCCTGCAGAATTATCGCGTGGCTGTTAATTACTTGTATGGCTTCGGTGCCAATGTCTTAACACAGCATAGCACTGCACAGATGAGCACCAACATGGCGGCCGCCCATATTAGGCAAGCCCCGTGACGTCACGTGAAAGCCGAGAATACATTGTACATGGGCCAACTGGTAATGTTTGCTTCTCAAGATAAACTGAAAGTCATACCTGTATGTAGTGATCCTTGACACTGAAACAGTTCTTTTTTGTGCTTCAAATCCACTTCAAGTCGGTACTTCTGCAATCAAAGAAAGGTGCAATGTTGACGTTTTATGACTCTTTATTCCGCCAGGAGGCTGCGGTGACATCATTGGTTTTCTTCATCTAATTTACTCTATAGTGTATGTATGTCCTTTGGATAAGATATGACAAACGTTGTGATTACAGAACGACTGACATGCTGACTACAGCCAACCTAATTCCCTCTCAAGTGATTATTCGTCCTCTGGCTTCTCTTTACTCTTTTCATTTCGTTGAGATGTTATTACCTCCGGGGAAGGAGATATCATTCCGCGAGGAGGTTTTACTATGGTTCGAAACATTTCTGTCAGCAGCTATTTCTCGCGATCGGCTGGACGGATTTGTCTGTGGTTCGGTATGCGTATTGCTATTGGGCTGCAGATGATGCAGAACGTTTTTGTTTAATTGCATATGTGTTTATGGGTGTCGAAATAAAAGGTTTTTAAGTGCTCCGGACACCTCCGCCATGCTGAAAATGGTAATTACCATGTTGTTAAGGAATGGGGCGGTTTCAAAATGAGTCAAACAGAGGGGTGCCTGGTTCCGATAAAAATTTTGGGTGACGGCGCAGCAATGACGGCGCGGGATGACGGCGGGGGTGACGGTGCAGGATGTCAGACTTGAGACACGTTAATCAACAGTCCATACCGAACCAACTGTCAGTAGCCATCAAACACATACAAACATATTACGCACATAACTTTCATACTACACACAAACAAATAACCTAAACCAATAGAACACAAAAAAACCTGGAGGTTTGAAATCTACGATTTCCCTTGTTTTATGTACTAATGTTAACAGAGTAGTGATTTCAGAGCTACATTGTAGTTAATTAGATTAAGAACACCAACGACGTCACCGCAGCCTCCTGGTGGAATAGAGAGTCATAAAATGTCAACATGGATTTGGGTCAAATATCACACCTGTGTGTGCGGGACTGGTAGAAACCAATGAATCACCTTTTGCAAATAGGATTTTGGGTTGAAAGGCACATCAAGCTGAGGCAAACTTATCGGTCCCAGAACCTTCACGTTTCAAGCTGCATTGTACATTGTAAGATACCAGATACTAGACTAAGTGTAAGTATTAAACAAGGCACCATATGGGTTTTAGTCTCAGACAAGTTCTTAATTCAAGAGAACAGAATGTTATACCTTTACGCTTTAGCTAAACCCAGTACAGTAAATTAGGAAGGAAAATTGGAGAAAAAGGTACTTACATGTACAATGTACTTCCTTGAAAAGTTTATGGTAGTTCCAACTGTCATCAACAGTTACTGTCAGACTCAATTTTTGGCAGTTCTAAGACGAGTTGCACTGTCTTGTTTCCACTGCACCACCTCAACTGTGCAGTGCCCTTCAAGTCCTCTATTTATACAAAGAAACTTGAACAATGTTTCCTTTTAAGAACCATGAATGAGCTTGTAGCTGGCTCATTGATCTTTCTGTAGGGTGTGTTAGGTATATCCTATTTGCATCTTGTTTGGCACATTGGAGTCGTTAGAAAATACCAGTGCCTATTTATTTACCAAACGGGTTTAGTGTAATAAAAGTTGCTATGCTGATACTTGATACAAGGTCTTTTTCTAACAAAGCCAAAGCCAACAGAATTGAGTGTTTTGTAACTCAGTGGTTACAATAACATGAAGTACTACATGTAGTACCTGCTAATACACAAGGCATAACTACTTTGAAGGGAAGTTCTAAAAAAAACTATCAAGTCATTTTATATCGTCAAAAGATATAAACTATGAAACTAACAAATTACTAAATACAGTTGTTGGAAAGATAGATGCTCTTCATAAAGGGGAGGAAGTACTGACTGTAGACAGCATCACCTCTTTATAAATCTGTCAGCAGAAGTGAGTTCAAAGTC